ATATGACCCCTTTAAAACACTTTTTTTCGACTAAAGAAAAATAGACATGAACATTTTGGACATCGAGGGGAGTACAATTATCAGTAAATGTTTATTCTGGAAGTGAACTAATCCTTTAATCTGGATAAATTTAAAAACATATTTCTCTTTACATTTTTGCCCTTCATCCACACTGAGGCTGTTTTGTATAGTAAAAACTGACCTTTATGTAAGGTTCTACCGGCATTGTTGTGCCTGCTATTCACTTTCATTGAGTTACATAACATAAATGTTCCCTTGTGCAATCTTCTTGTTATGTTCCACCAAGGACAGAATATGTACTTGCAATTGCTGTCCTCTGACAAAACAGCTGACAGTTGCATTTGAGATCATTCATTAAATGGCTATTTTAAGTGTAACCTGCATGCACCAGTGAGAGGTGGGACATTTTGGATACAATGATTGTATGAAGAACAGCATGATAATTGTATCTTATTATATCTGGTCTCTCTGTATCTTCTCAGTGAGTGTAAATGTCATTTTAAGCCCGCACAGCAAGGTGATTTTAGGGTTTACATATAGTCATGGCCAAAAATATCGGCACCCTTGGTAAATATGAACAAAGAAGGCTGTGAAAATTAATCTGCATTGTTAATCCTTTTGATCTTTTATTTTAAAAATCCACAAAAATCTAACCTTTCATTAGATAATAAGAATTTAAAATGGGGGGAAATATGATTATGAAATAAATGTTTTTCTCTAATACACATAGGCCACAATTAACGGCACCCTTTTATTCAATACTTTTTGAAACCTCCATTTGCCAGTTTAACAGCTCTAAATGTTCTCCTATAATGCTTGATGAGGTTAGAGAACACCTGACAAGAGATCAGAGACAATTCCTTCATCCAGAATCTCTCCAGACCCTTCAGATTCCCAGCTCCATGTTGCCAATATTTTTGGCCATGACTGTATGTTTCAGTATGGAGCAACTTCTGGAAAATGCTTAAAAACACTATTGTAGATGTACCCTGACGTCATGCATCCCAAACATCCACTAAAAAATTATCCTGGAACAAAATGGTTACAAAAGTCATTGCAAAAGTGGCTCAGATAAATAAACTTCTGAGGAAAGGTCAATGACATTTAATTTGCATATACTACTTTTGTTATTAGTTTTATATGCACTGACATTCAGGCATTAGGTGTCCAAATACTTTGAGGTCACCACAGTCTGGAGTCATCATGAAGTAAGATTCTTTGTGTGCTCTCTTTGCAAAGCAATAATTAGATTTTCCATAACACTACTAAGTATTATTTCTTGGTAAAAAAAATAAAAATAAAGAATCTAGAAATAACAGAAGCTACTGGCTGGTTAAAATGTTTCAGTTTGGTCCTTTTTGCATGTGTGAGAAACTGTGTTTGAGAAACCGTGCAGCTGAGTCATTCATCCATAGCCCGTCCTGTGAAGACAGAAGTAATTTCTGAAAGGGCCAGTAATGGGCCGAGGGACCATTATCATGGGCTGGGTGGTGTTGAGCAATGTCTGTTCTCACCCACAACAAGCTGGCTATTGTGCAACAGCTGCTCAGTCACCACGCAAACAATAGCTGACTCTGACCCATTGTCACCCATCTATTGGCCCGTCATGTGTTGAGACTGATAAGAATGAAGGCGAGCAAAAATAGCAATGCATACAACACCCATATTCATGGATGATTGAAAAAGAAAATATTTTATCCATTTACTCATAGTCATACCCCTGCATAAAACAGCAAGCAAAAATAGCAATGCATACAACACCCATATTCATGGATGATTGAAAAAGAAAACATTTGATCCATTTACTCATAGTCATACCCCTGCATAAAACAGCAATTTATTTAAATATCTGGAATATCCACAAGTAAATAAACAAAAAATAAGCCTTTCCATACAGCACAGAAAATAATCACAAAAACTCTTGCCAAAACAAAAATCCATTTATTTTCTCACAATGTCCTTTAGTATAGTATTGAGCAAAAAAGTTGTCAATAAAAAACGATCCAAAATACATATTTCATATTCAGTGTGAAATAAATATCAGATGTTGTCACGCCATTGACCTTTGGTAAATAAATGAGCGAGGAAGCTGTTTTGACGTGACAAATAATATATTTTGCTGCCTCTGCAGAGGTGGCAGACAGCATTCCACACACACACACACACACACACACACACACACACACAGATAAAACAAGTGGTGTAATGCATGTAGAATGAAAGAAAATCTGAGAGGATTTTCCCAGTGTGAACACTTACAATGACATACAAAAAATTATTGACGTGACAAATAATATATTTTGCTGCCTCTGCAGAGGTGGCAGACAGCATTCCACACACACACACACACACACACACACACAGATAAAACAAGTGGTGTAATGCATGTAGAATGAAAGAAAATCTGAGAGGATTTTCCCAGTGTGAACACTTACAATGACATACAAAAAATTATGTGTGATCAGATGTGTTGACCGCTGTAGATTAAAGAAACAAACGCAATCATAATTAATACAGCATCAACATGCAGCGGAGTTATTTGCTGAATGGTTCATGGTAATGTCATTAAGCATTTGCACTTTTCATTCTACCTTTAAAAGTCTGTAGGCATTTGTGGTATTTTGAGTGAGCACAAACAAACCAAACCAAAGACAAAGATACGGGCCACTGGTGAAAATATAGTGTTACAGTGGTGTCCTAACAGTACGCTGCCTTATTAATCATTGATTTTGAGCACAAGGTATTCATTTCATTGGGCTTGTGGTTATGTTTACAGCTCTACAGACATAAGATCATATGAGAGATAGTCCCACCACCTACAGCAGAAATAAAAATAAGCAGCTTAAGTGAACATCTGACAAGTTAAAGGGATAATTTGAATAAAAATTAAAAAAGAATAACACTCGTATGTCGTTCCAAACCTGCAGTGTTATTTTAGTATCACTGACTACATTTACGTGTGCACCAACAATTTGATTATTTCCAAGGTCCCACTTAATATTAGGTAGCCTTAACTACTATGTACTCACATAAAAAAATAAGTACAATATTGTATTCATATTGAATTACAAAACACTTTTGCTGCTATTGAGGTGGGGTATGGGTAAGGTTAGGGACAGGTTTGGGGATATGAGTATGTTTAAGAGTGGGTTAAGGTATAAGGGATGGGTCAACAGTTTAACTATAAATGTAATTACAGAAATTAATTACAGATGTAATTACATTCAGGTATTTTTTTAAATATAAGTACAATGTAAAAACATGTATGTACACAATAAGTGCACTGTATCACACGATTAATTTAAATGTAAGTACATGGTAGTTAAGGCCACAATCAATTTGATCAAAGTATTGTGTTTACATTAGGGCTGCCCTTGACTAAAGATTTTTCTGGTCGACTAGTAGTCGTTCATTTTATGATAATGAGCCTTTAATTGCCTACATAGCCTAATAATCGCTCAAGCGCACGCATAAAGCTTGCCACAGCACACCGGCAGAAGTAATGATGATGAATGTGTCAGGGAAAAACAGTAAGATTAAACCGCATTAACATTTAAATAATCTATTGCTAAACTAGTGCTTTCTGTGTTTTTCGGCTTATTTTTATTATTAAGAGATGAAGTCAGCGACACTGACTCGTCATCTCCACAGTAGTGGATGCGCTTGCATGCAAATTTCATACGGATGAGCCTACATAATCAAATTTTTTTCAGATTTGAATTGTTTCATTTGAAAGTAGACATTTCACTCTCTATAGATATGTTTTTCATGTCTGTAAGGCAAGTATACACGGAGTTTCGCGCTCAAGTTCACAGAGGCCGAGACGGCAGAAAGCACATCCTGTTTGCTTTCATTATTTTACAAAAGCGCAATGTTTTGTTGTTATAGTGAGTGCACACAAATAAACGTAGAGGCTTTACAGATTCGAAAGCTGTATTACTCTTATCTGTATGACCAAAATGACGGAGTATTTTAAGAGCAAGTGAGCACACCGGCGCCTCCATCTGTCATGCTGTGAGCGCGCTACTGTTCAGCTTTCACACTCCGCACAGACACTTCAATAGAGCACATTTTTCTTGGTTAACATTAGATTGAGCAGCCATGTAAAGTTGCTACTACTTACATATTTCAGATAAGCCATTTGAGGTCGATGAATGATAGGCGAGCGTTTGGATGTACTGTATTACCACAAAATCCAGCCGTTAACGATCTGTCCGTCACAGACTGCGTGACTTCATCACTTCCTGTGAATTTTTTTTTCTGTGACTAAGCGACTAATAAAATTTTGGTCGACCAAGCCTCTTCTCGTCGACTAAAAGTTAGTCAACTATTAGGGGGCAGCCCTAATCAAGTTTAGTTTAATCACAATATTGTTTAAATCTCATATGAATGTGGATATAAATGTAGTCATAGATATACTATTTATACGTCTATATAGTTTTAAGTTATTTTAGTTAGTTATTTTAGTACTTCAACTTAAAATAGCTGAAATAAAATGTTTTTATTTTATTTTATTTTATTTAATCTTTTACTTTATTTCAAGTAATGCATTTTTTTACGGTTATAGTAGTTTAGTTTAATCACAATATTGTTTAAATCTCATATGAATGTGGATATAAATGTAGTCATAGATATACTATTTATACGTCTATATAGTTTTAAGTTATTTTAGTTAGTTATTTTAGTACTTCAACTTAAAATAGCTGAAATAAAATGTTTTTATTTTATTTTATTTTATTTAATCTTTTACTTTATTTCAAGTAATGCATTTTTTTACGGTTATAGTTCTAAATTTAGTTAATGCTAATAACCCTAAACATGTTTTTTTTTCTTTAGTGGAATATAAAATATGTTATTTTAATTGTTTCAACCACTTTTGTCCACACAATGAAAGTAAATGGGGTCCAAAACAATAACAGCATTAAATCATACTTACTTTTATGGTATCAATGGATTCTTTTGTTTAAGTAAAATAAATAATTGCATACAGGCTTGGAACGACATGAGGGTGAAAAGATCTTTTTAAATATACTGTAACATATATAGGTAGATTCTAGGACGTTTCTGTAACACGATTTTAGGATTATAATCCAAAATCGATTGTTTCATAGGGGTTTCGCAGTAACTTTGCGGTCTGACTTCCTTGTTTAATTTGTAAAACCTGATCTCAGATAAAAGCAATAGCAGTCCAATTGTTGTGTGAAAAGCAGTAGCTCTCTCGCAGATGAAAAAGGACAGACAGCACACAACATATACAAGTGCTGTCCTCTCTCAGTTGGTCCTCAGTTGATAATCTGTCAAAAATGTTCAAGCAAAGTCAGAAAGTACAACTAATAAACTGTATATATAAAATAACGAGTGCATGAAAATTTAACTGAAGGCATTTGAATATGTTATTGACATTTGGGTGTATGGATATATCTGAAGAAATCCATTGTGGTTTAAGATCTGATATCTGCTTTGCAATTCTTATGAATAAGTGAACAGGGCTGAGGGATTAGAGTGACTCTCTCTCCTCTGGTGTCGCTGATGCAAATGGAAAACTGATAGTCTACACTATTTCAAACGCTGTGTGTGTGTGTGTGTGTGTGTGTGCAGCAGACAGAGTAAGGCTCATGTTCACTGAACTTTTAATGCAGGCTGAAGGTAAACTTTATATCAGAATGATATCGGAGTAAGCGTGAGGGAATTTCTGAATATGTCTCACCTCCACTCTGAGTAATATATCGCACCCACGGTAATGCCTGATATCCGCTCTTCTCGATAATCTTCAAGTATCGCACCTATGTTTTTTACCACACACAAACAAAATGGATTGCAAAAATCGAATCCACTGCATCATGACCATTATCAAAGAATATTTTGAGGCGAATATGTGTTTTGCCGCACCTGAATGCCTGACACTGTGAAGTAAGGAATCTCAAACTTCACTGTGATTGGTCGTTTGGCCTCGAGTACATCACTTTCCACACTTGGCAGTCCAAAATGAGCACGCATCATGAACTCTTTCCCGCCCTTCAACAAGTAAAGACACATCATTAGTTTTTGACACATCTAACTGTCTAATTAACACTGCAACAATCATCACTTCAGTCGTAAGTCCTAATTAACAGTTCAGTTCTAAATGAGTCTTGTGAGTCATATTCCTAAGAGGGTGATACAAACTTTCCCGTCTCTACAAGGCTTGCAACAGCACAAAACTCCAGAACCGATTCACGGCCTTTCAAGCCTGAAACGCCCATAACATCATCAGGATTGGAAAAACATTCTTGACTAAATGGCTGTATTCTTAGATTTAGAATTTTATTTATTTATTTTAAAACTGGTTTTGCCACTAACTATACGTAATAATAAGGCATGGAATTATAAGTTCAGTACGTCTTGGCTTGTACTATTTTTGATGTCCTATTTAAGACAAAATAAATAAAAGTTTATTTTTTGGCAAACACTTTATTCTGTATATATGCACCTTTGGCAAACTCTTTAGATTTGATATTTTGAATACATGCTCCTTTGGAAACTCATAATTCTTCACATAATTGCTTCTTTGGCAAACACTTTATTTTGTATATTTTGCATACAAGCTCTATACCATTTTCATGGGCTTTTGCCTTTAATTGAAGAGAAGAAGGGAAAGAAATAAACAAAAATAAACAAAATAAATAAATTAAAAACAAACAAATAAATAAATAAATAATAATTAAAATGTATACAACAAACATTCACAAGCAATATATAAACTGAAAAAAGTACATACAAGAACACCACCAAAATTGCAATAAATATTTAAACTGTAAATATTCTTTTATTTTATTGCCACATTTATGTTGTCTCTGTGAAATCAGCAACAATTTGGTTGATTTGTTGTTGTTTTTTTAACTTCAAAATAGTATTTTCAGGAATCTGAATGTGAGTTATTTGCTACAAAGATCTCAAACATCTTAAGCATGTATGGTACGTACAGGGAAGGACTTGATGTTCCATTCTACAGCACTCTTCTCAGGAACCCATTTAGCCTGGCCCGTGGTGGTCTTAAATTTTGGGGAGTCAGCGTCACTGGGAACAGGAACTAAGATGGACACATCGTTGGCAGTGGAGCGGCTCTTGAACTGACTGCGGGCCTGGAGAACAGATGGAGGAACTATAGCACAACTTCGCACACCAAGTAAAACTTCCAAAGCTACACTTTCAGAAACTAAAGTTGTAGTATGGCAAAGGCAATAGGACAAAGCATGTTTATGTCAGAATCTGACAAGTCTTTGGACACAGCTCAGGTAAACTTCAAGCCATTCCCCAGGACAGAAGCCTGAAAGCTAATTACTGGAAGCAGGGAGTGTGCTGTCCTCTTAATGTCCACTAACTGAGTCTTCACCATAATAAAAACTTGCATTTTCAATCTTGAGTCTGTGGAGGGCAGTGTTTCACTTGTCCAATTCTCATTCTACTGCTGAGCTGAGAAGATATATTTCTTCAACTGATGCAATAACAGTATGGCTTATTCTACCTTCAGCTGTGTTTACAATAGTTTGCGCCATAGTTCAGTTTTATAGTGGGTAGTGGCACAGGAAACAACCAGGTCTTTTTCACTTCCCTGAAACCATATCTGATGAAACGGTTTCCTGTAGAAATAAACTGAAAGGATAGTTTGTAATGTCTATATAATGTTGGTGGGGTCAACAGCTACCGCAGCTTAGCTTGGTTAATAGATGCATCTAATTATAAGGATGAAACTGATATTTATTTATTATGAACAGAAGATCATCACTCAATTCATTTTATATCGATTCCCTTTCACTAGTAGAGTAAATCCAGAGCGCCTCTGTTCTAAAAGGCAAGGTGCATTTATACCGCACATGCAGAATACATAACTGAGATCTGGCCTGCTGTGAAACGAACACCCGCTGGGTTAGGCCTGGGGTGAGGATTAACCAAGAGAAACGGAATAATGGAATTCACCTAACAAGTGCAAATGAGAGAGATGCTTACTATAAAATAGGTTAAGACAATCGACTGACTGCTTGACTAGCAGCCCTTGAAATTGAGTCTCTTTCTGCACTACTTGGAAAAAATAAAAATAAAAATACAAGGTCAATTTAAGACTGAAATGTAGCATTTTGGTCACCATTTGTGTCACCAAAAGCAAATGGAGAAATAACGACAGAATAACAGGTAAATATTAACCTTGCAATCTTGTAAACAGATTTAATTGTGGTATTGATATATTTTGTGGTTTACATGCAGAAACATGCTTTTATTTATTTTGGAGTTGTCCTCATTCAACTTCTTGTTGGTGAGATTTCAATTCATTCATTAAGGAAGCCATAAAGTTTAGATTTTTTTATTTGTATTTTTGTTTTTTTCTATGACAAGTCTTATCATAAGAAACCATATAGTTAAGCTGTTATACATAAAAATCTACACATACAGAAACAGAAGTTCAACGATACCTAAAACCAATATTACGTTTGAAAAATAAGAGATTTGTTACTATTACTATTGTTACTTGTTTTGTTTCAAACAGTGACACATTTCAGTTTTAAAGATGGATAGGTATACTCACGGCCTGTGATCTCGAAGAGAACTTTGTCATTGAGTCCAAGCCTTAACTCAGGCATGCCTGACAGAACGACTTTGAGTTTGATGCAGCCCAGAATCTCGCTACGCAGAACACTGCCTGTAGCACTGACCTATAACAAACAAAAACAGAGAAGATAAATGTAAAGCACAATCAAGAGTGGCAAGGTGCGATATTGCATCATCACCATTACTGCCATGTACAATTTATTACGCTCTGTCGGGCAAGGCAGCAACCGTGTGATTTGTGCCATAATGCTCTTGGAAAGAGAGGGTTGAATATGCTGCGATAACTACGGATATGAGAATGTAATATATTATATTATGGTAAAATATTAAAAGCATACAAGCTGGACTCAGAAGGTAGATCTAAACCTCAAAAAGTCCACATCGATTCAATACCTCTGAGGGCTCTCAGATACAAGAGCCAGAAAAAGCCAGAGCGAGAAAGCTGCACGGATGAATAGCAATGCAGAATTAGAAAGCAATGAGACGTGATTTAGCTCTTAATCAGAAGAGTGGTGCTGCTCCGTTTAGACCCCCCGACCCTGAGAGTTAAAAAGCAGAAAAAGAAAGGCAACAAGAACTTAAAGACGGCAGCTGCTTCCTCCCTCTCTCAATC